ACCTGCACTTGCTTCCCAGGAGAAACCTTCCATTGTTACCTATTCCCCAAAAATCAGCTTCTCCAAAAGATCTGAAGTTTTCAGGACTCAGGTTACTGATGTTCTACGTTTGCCCAAGGTTGCTTGGACAAATACAGGAATTGCTTGAGCTAAACCAAAAGCAAATTCAGAAGTCAAAGCCCATAACGGGGTCCAAGAGATGCTCTAAGGAAGCTGTCAGGTGGCCCTGGGCATTTTCACACACATCATCATCCACCCTGGACACCTCCACGTGTGCTCATGGAATCACGGGATCACTGAGGTTGGAAAAGCCCCCCAAGCCCATCGAGTCCACCCTGTGCCCGATGCCCACCTTGTCCCAGAGCACTGAGTGCCACCTCCAGGCCTTCCTCAGACACCTCCAGGGGTGGGAACTCCACCACCTCCCTGGGCAGCCCCTTTCCAGCAAGAAATCCCTCCCGAAATTTCTTTTTGTGGAATCAGAGAATGATTAAGGTCGGAAAAGACCTTGAGAATCATCAAGCCTGTCAACCCAGCAGGGTGTTCACCACCAAACCACGTCCTCCAGCGCCACGTCCTCGTGTTTTCTGAACACTTTTAGGGATGGTGACTCCACCACTTTTTTTATCCTTGGAATATCCAGCAGTACAGGAATGGACAGCAATCATCTGCCTTCGCATCATCTTAGGTACGGTGGCAGCTACTGGACTTTAAGCCACGATTTTATTTGAATCTGAAGTTTATCCTTGATTTTTATCTGTCCTACCTCCACCGTACACTAAAACCCAACATCCCAATGTCCCTCCAGTGCCAAAAACCGCGGGGTTTTTGCCATCGGGGGCTCTCACGGTCACTTCAAAAGGCATCGCCCCTAATGAGCAGCTGCACTTCCACACCGGGAGCCGGGCGGGCACAATGGCCCTGCCGCCGAACCCGCCTCATTTACATCCCTTTGCGGGGCTTTCCACCGCCCTAATGGCTTTTCCCAAACAAAAGGAGCCGCGGCCAGCACGCATCTGACCTTCAGATTTGCTTCTGTGATTTATTTTTTTATGGCTCAAAGTCTACACTCGCCTGGTGGCTCTTTTTTTTTTTTTCCTCCCCTCCCCTCCAGGACTGTTGTGATGAAAACCGGCACATTAATTAATTCCTAGGAAAACATGCGCAAAGGACCCATATCCAGGAGAGTGGAGCTGCCTGGGAGCTGTAGTTCCCTTCACAGACACACCCTCAGCCCAGTTATTCCCATTCTCCCCGTCACACAAAGCAAGACAAACGACACAATTTTGCCTCCTCGCTGTTTTCCAACTTTTTGTGGCTGCAGTTGAGTCGCTTTGCTTATTTTCTCTTTACATCTTAGATCTCTGTGAAGGTACAAAATTGGGAAAATAACAAAGACACCGTCTTCTCACTGCACCTGAAAAACACTGTCATGGCCCCTACTTGAAATCTTCTGATGTTCCCTGTGTAAGAGCCATGACACTTCCAAAGAAGACAAATTCTCCCAGTCTGCTCCCAGAGGCATTTTGGGAACTTCATCATATCTGTTCTACTATTTGCAAGTTGGGAGTTAAGAGCACACCAGAATCGTCATGGACAGATCGAGTCACAGTGGAATAACAGCCCTGCAAACCCAAAAACCACACGGGAAAACCCACCAGAAAAAATGACATTTGCATTCTCTGTATAAACAGCATCACCAGGGGTGTTCAATAATGAGGAGAAACGCAGTATGGCCTTTGAAATGAGGACATAAAATGTGCTTTTGTCTCTCACTGAAGCTATTTCCCTGTGCAGACTGATGGCAGCAGATGCAGGATCCCCTCCTCCTCCCCCAGCAATTGGTTCTGCTTCCCTGCCAGCCAGGGGAGGAAATCCACGGCATCACCCCCCTCCCAGCTCTCAAACAAACAACCCACCCCCCCCCGTACACAAAAACCACACCACTCTCTATTAACAAGGAACCAATCACTTACCCCATGGCAGGAAAGTCTATCGTTAAAATTTATGTTTCTGGAGATGAGCCAAGAAAAGTGAAGGCAATTCCAGCCTGGAGAGCAGCCACAATCTTTTAACACTTAAAAACTGGGTATTCCTTAAATTACTAATATATTAAATGTCCTTAAGAAAAAAAAAACAACGAACAAACAACAATAACAAAAACAACCCACAAAAAAAACCCCAACAGTCAAGGCAGGAATTTTCAGGTTCAGAGGATAACATTTATACATAATACTCCATTATTTAAGAAACCAGTTCTCGGGATGTACATGAAAGGAGATGAGCCATCTGCTGTGTCTGTAAATCAGCCCCTAAATTATCAGAGAATATTTTAATTTAACCGTAGACTAAATAAATCATCACTATCTCAGGCCACGGGGATCCATATAAAACGTGGAATCATCCTAAAAGACATAAAGGCACACTTTTGTTCTGAACCCACCCCACTACTATGGCTCAGACAACACGTTCCTCAGGGATTCCTCACTACAACCATCCACTGCTGCCTCCTCTCACGTTTCAGCTGGAGTTGGGGTTTCTGTATCAGCACAACCAGAGCTGCTCCCCCTGTCCGTGACACCTCCTGCAGCAGAACCAAAGCCCAAAGCAAACCCCCTTCTCCCCCACCACAGACCAGGGAGATCAGCTGGGCAAAAAAGGCAATCAGAGCATCCTAAGCAGAGCTGAAGTGCTGGGTGCTGCTCTCACCATAAACACTGCTGCTGCTTTGTTCTAGCTTTTTAATATTTTATTTGGTTTTTGTGTTCTCCATTTTATGCTGATTTAACAGTTCCAGCTGTGCAGCTCCCTAGGCACTCTGCATATTCATAATTATTATTATTGGATAAACATGTATTTGAGTGGGGCAACAGATGATACGCAGATAATTTTTCTTTTGCTTACTCCTATTTATTTCCCCGGGAAAAAAAAAAATGCTTTATTCTCCCCTCCCACAGCCGAGAAAGCCTGTGTGGATGTGTCAGGGAGGCGAGGGCTGTGCAATCACAGATCGTAGTCTGGCATCTCCGAGCGGGTGAGATCAGGAATGTGCAGGGATGGGGACGGGAGGGTGTGGCCGAGCCACATGCAGAGCTGGATACGGGGAAGAACTGCTGGAAACGGGAACACAACCACCCCTTATTTGTCATGCAGCCCCTCTAACAAGCAGCAATATATTTTTTTTAAATTAAAGGGAAGCCCTGCAGCAGCACGGGAGGGCTGTGCGTGGCTGAGGATGGGTGTTGTGCCGGCGTTAAACAGGTGGCTCGGGTCGGAGCGCACCGGTGGCGATGGTCCAGCAGCACCGGGGCTGGGATGGAGCCACACGGCAGCGAGAGCAGAGGGAACCACAGCAGAAGCGACCGCGGAGGGAGAGGAAGAATCCTCGGCGTGGGGAGCGAGGGAGGGTGAGGACAGCGCTGAGGGAAGGGGCGAGGAGAAGCCGGGCAGCGAGGGCTGGGGATGAGCAGCGCTGGGGTAACACGGCAAGGGCACACGGACAGGCACAGCGCACCCCGGGACCGCGGGCACCCCCGACAGCCACGGGGGGCAGCTGCAAAACGAGCCGAGAGGGGCTGCAGGCACCACAAACGCAATTTCGAGGTGGCGATGGCACAGACAACCCGTGCGGGGGCTCCGGGCCGGGAGGGGTGCGGGGTGGGGCGGAGGAAGGGGCTGACGAGCCGCAGGACGGGACGGGGTGAAAAAGCGCTCGCAGGGGCAGGAGCGGGCGCGGAAGGGCTGCGGGGACGCTCCCCGGCGAGGGCGGACAGCGCGGGGACGGATGGACGGACGGACGGATGCCCCAGGGATGCATCCCGGCGGACGGGCGCGCGCCGGGGCGGGGCCGGCGCAGGTGTGGCCGCTCCCACCCCACCTGCCGCTCTCCCGGGGTGGTACCGGCGGCTCCCGAGCGGCCACCGGCGGGTCCCGTCCCGTCCCCCCCCCCCCGCGCCCATCGGCCGCGGCCCCCCCGCCGCTCGCGCCCAGCTGCCGCTCCACAACGGCAGCGCCCGCGCCCCTCCTTCCTTTCTTGTTTTTTTTTTTTTTTTTCTTTCCCCTTATTCCTTTCCCCCCCCTCCCCATACCCCCCATTATTCCAGCCGCTCGATCCCCCCGCCCTTCCCGCATCCACCGCATCCCCCTCCCTCGCCCGCGCTCGAGGGGCGGGTTGGAGCATCCTCGACATCCACAATGAACCCGGCGCGACAACGACACAACGACACCGCCGCACCGCCACCGCCGCCTCCTCCTCCTCCTCCTCCTCCTCCTGCTGCTGCCGCCGCCGAGCGCCGCGCCACGAGCGGCCAAGGGCGCCCGCAGCATCCCCATCCCCATCCCCATCCCCGCCGCCCCATTGTGCGCGCTGCCCCCCGCGCCCCGGGGGAGCCGCGGTCCCGCTCGCAGCCCCCCCCCCCCCCCCCCCCCCCCCCCCCCCCCCCCCCCCCCCC